CAATCAATTGGTGGATTAACAACTGCAAATTCAATAGCTGACATAACAACAAGTAAAACAACTGGAATAACTGCTAGTTCCATTGCATCTGGTCAATCGACAGCTGGTTTAACAACTGCAAATACAATTGTAACAGGTCAAAGTATAGGTGGATTAACTACAACTGGTGCATCAAGTGGTTTCATTTCAGGTGCAAATTCCGTTGCAGGTTTAACCACTGCAAATACAATCGGAGGTGGTCAATCAGTAGCAGGTGTTACAACTTCAAATACATTAGGTTTAACATCATTAAATTCAATAGGTCAATCAGTTGGTGGATTAACAACTGCAAACTCCATTGGTGGATTAACAACTGGATTAACTACTGCTAGCTCAATTGCAACAGGCCAATCGATTACAGGATTAACAACTGCAAATACAATTGTTACTGGTCAAAGCGTAGGTGGATTAACTACAACTAGTGTATCAATTGGTTTCATTTCAGGTGCAAACTCTGTTGCAGGATTAACCACTGCAAATACAATTGGAGGTGGTCAATCAGTAGCAGGTGTAACGACTTCAAATACATTAGGTTTAACATCATTAAATTCACTAGGTCAATCAGTTGGTGGATTAACTACTGCATCAAATTCAATTGTTGGTTTAACAACTGGTTTAACTACAGTTAGTTCCATTGCATCTGGTCAATCAACAACTGGTTTATCAACTTCAAATACAATTGTAACTGGTCAAAGTGTTGGTGGATTAGCTACAACTAGTGCATCAAGTGGTTTTATTTCAGGTGCAAACTCTGTTGCAGGTTTAACAACAGCATCTACAATTGGAGGTGGTCAATCAGTAGCAGGTGTAACAACATCGAATACACTAGGTTTAACATCATTAAATTCACTAGGTCAATCAGTTGGTGGATTAACCACTGCAAATTCGATTGTTGGGTTAACAACTGGATTAACTACTGATAGCTCAATTGCAACAGGCCAGTCAATAACTGGATTATCAACTGCAAATACAATTGTAACAGGTCAAAGCGTAGGTGGATTAACTACAACTGGTGCATCAAGTGGTTTCATTTCAGGTGCAAACTCTGTAGCAGGTTTAACCACTGCAAATACAATCGGAGGTGGCCAATCAGTAGCAGGTGTAACAACATCGAATACACTAGGTTTAACATCATTAAATTCGATAGGTCAATCAATTGGTGGATTAACTACTGCAAATTCAATAGCTGGTATTACTACAAGTAAAACCACTGGAATAACTGATGGTTCAATTGCAACAAGTCAATCAATAACTGGTTTAACAACTGCAAATACAATCGTAACTGGTCAAAGTGTAGGTGGTTTTACTACTGCAAATACCTTGGGATTAACATCATTAAATTCAATAGGTCAATCAGTTGGTGGACTAACTACTTCAAATTCTATTGGTGGATTAACAACTGGATTAACTACAGCAAGTTCAATTGCCACAGGTCAATCAATAACTGGTTTATCAACTTCAAATACAATTGTAACAGGTCAAAGCGTAGGTGGATTAACTACAACTGGTGCATCAAGTGGTTTCATTTCAGGTGCAAACTCTGTAGCAGGATTAACCACTGCAAATACAATTGGAGGTGGTCAAACAGTAGCAGGTGTAACAACTTCGAATACATTAGGTTTAACATCACTAAATTCGCTAGGTCAATCAGTTGGTGGATTAACAACTGCAAACTCCATTGGTGGATTAACAACTGGATTAACTACTGCTAGCTCAATTGCAACAGGCCAATCAATAACTGGTTTAACAACTGCAAATACAATTGGAGGAGGTCAATCAATAGCTGGATTAACAACTTCTAATACATTAGGTTTAACATCATTAAATTCAATAGGTCAATCAGTTGGTGGATTAACTACTTCAAATTCTATTGGTGGATTAACAACTGGATTAACTACTGCAAGTTCAATTGCAACAGGCCAATCAATAACTGGATTAACTACTGCAAATACAATTGTAACTGGTCAAAGCATAGGTGGATTAACCACAACCACAAATGGTCCATCGAGTGGTTTCATTTCAGGTGCAAATTCTGTAGCAGGTTTAACCACTGCAAATACAATTGGAGGTGGTCAATCAGTAGCAGGTGTAACAACTTCAACAGGAGTAACTTCATTAAATTCACTAGGACAATCAATTGGTGGATTAACTACTGCAAATTCAATAGCTGATATTACAACAAGTAAAACAACTGGTATTGTCACTGCTGGATCAATTGCCACAGGCCAATCAATAACTGGTTTATCAACTGCAAATACAATTGTAACTGGTCAAAGTGTTGGTGGATTAACTACAACTGGTGCATCAAGTGGTTTCATTTCAGGTGCCAACTCTGTAGCAGGATTAACAACAGCAGCTACAATCGGAGGTGGTCAATCAGTAGCAGGTGTAACAACTTCAAATACATTAGGTTTAACATCATTAAATTCACTAGGCCAATCAGTTGGTGGATTTACTACTTCAAATTCAATTGTTGGCTTAACAACTGGTTTAACAACTGCTAGTTCAATTGCTTCTGGCCAATCAATAACTGGTTTAACAACTGCAAATACAATTGTAACTGGTCAAAGTGTTGGTGGATTAACCACAAATGGTGCATCAAGTGGTTTCATTTCAGGTGCAAACTCTGTAGCAGGTTTAACAACTGCAAATACAATCGGTGGTGGTCAATCAGTAGCAGGTGTAACAACTTCAATAGGAATAACATCATTAAATTCACTAGGTCAATCAGTTGGTGGATTAACCACTGCAAACTCGATTGCTGATATAACAACAAGTAAAACAACTGGTATTGTCACTGCTGGATCAATTGCCACAGGTCAATCAATAACTGGATTATCAACCTCAAATACAATTGTAACAGGTCAAAGTGTTGGTGGATTAACTACAACCGGAGCATCAAGTGGTTTTATTTCAGGTGCAAACTCTGTAGCAGGATTAACCACTGCAAATACAATTGGAGGTGGTCAATCAGTAGCAGGTGTAACAACTTCAACAGGAGTAACATCATTAAATTCACTAGGTCAATCAGTTGGTGGATTAACTACTGCAAATTCAATAGCTGATATTACAACAAGTAAAACAACTGGTATTGTTACTGCTGGATCTATTGCCACAGGTCAATCAATAACTGGATTATCAACTTCAAATACAATTGTAACTGGCCAAAGTGTAGGTGGATTAACTACAACTGGTTCATCGAGTGGTTTCATTTCAGGTGCAAACTCTGTAGCAGGTTTAACCACTGCAAATACAATCGGAGGTGGTCAATCAGTAGCAGGTGTAACAACTTCAACAGGAGTAACATCATTAAATTCACTAGGACAATCAATTGGTGGATTAACCACTGCAAATACAATCGGAGGTGGTCAATCAGTAGCAGGTGTAACAACTTCAACAGAAATAACATCATTAAATTCACTAGGCCAATCAGTTGGTGGATTAACAACTGCAAACTCAATAGCTGATATAACAACAAGTAAAACAACTGGACTAACTGCTAGTTCCATTGCCACAGGTCAATCAATAACAGGCTTAACAACTGCAAATACAATAGTAACTGGCCAAAGTGTAGGTGGATTAACTACAACTGGTTCATTGAGTGGCTTCATTTCAGGTGCAAACTCTGTAGCAGGGTTAACAACTGCAAATACAATTGGAGGTGGTCAATCAGTAGCAGGTGTAACAACTTCAAATACATTAGGTTTAATTTCAGGTGCAAACTCTGTAGCAGGGTTAACCACTGCAAATACAATCGGAGGTGGTCAATCAGTAGCGGGTGTAACAACTTCAATTGGGTTGACATCATTAAACTCATTAGGCCAATCAGTTGGTGGATTAACCACTTCAAATTCAATAGCTGATATTACAACAAGTAAAACAACTGGATTAACTGCTGGATCAATTGCCACAGGTCCATCAATAACTGGTTTATCAACTGCAAATACAATAGTAACTGGTCAAAGTGTAGGTGGATTAACTACAACTGGTTCATCGAGTGGCTTCATTTCAGGTGCAAACTCTGTAGCAGGGTTAACCACTGCAAATACAATCGGTGGTGGTCAATCAGTAGCAGGTGTAACAACTTCAAATACATTAGGTTTAACATCATTAAATTCGCTAGGTCAATCAGTTGGTGGATTAACTACTGCAAATTCAATAGCTGATATAACAACAAGTAAAACAACTGGAGTAACAGCTAGTTCCATTGCATCTAGTCAATCGATAACTGGTTTAACAACTGCAAATACAATTGTAACAGGTCAAAGTGTAGGTGGATTAACTACAACTGGTGCATCGAGTGGCTTCATTTCAGGTGCAAACTCTGTAGCAGGTTTAACAACAGCAAATACAATCGGAGGTGGTCAATCAGTAGCAGGTGTAACAACTTCAATTGGTTTAACATCATTAAATTCGCTAGGACAATCAGTTGGTGGATTAACAACTGCAAACTCAATAGCTGACATAACAACAAGTAAAACAACTGGATTAACTGCTAGTTCCATTGCATCTGGTCAATCAATAACTGGTTTAACTACTGCAAATACAATTGTAACTGGCCAAAGTGTTGGTGGATTAACTACAACTGGTGCATCGAGTGGCTTCATTTCAGGTGCAAACTCTGTAGCAGGTTTAACCACTGCAAATACAATCGGTGGTGGTCAATCAGTAGCAGGTGTAACAACTTCAATTGGTTTAACATCATTAAATTCATTAGGCCAATCAGTTGGTGGATTAACCACTTCAAATTCAATAGCTGATATTACAACAAGTAAAACAACTGGTATTGTAACTGCTGGATCAATTGCCACAGGTCCATCAATAACTGGTTTATCAACTTCAAATACAATTGTAACTGGTCAAAGTGTTGGTGGATTAACTACAACCGGAGCATCAAGTGGTTTCATTTCAGGTGCAAACTCTGTAGCAGGGTTAACCACTGCAAATACAATCGGTGGTGGTCAATCAGTAGCAGGTGTAACAACCTCAAATTCAATTGGATTAACATCATTGAATACAATAGGTCAATCTGTTGGGGGTCTTACAACTGCTTCAACCAGTCAATCATCAATAGGTTTAACAACTGCATCAACTACCCAATCATCAATCGGTGTAACAACTGCCTCAACTAGTCAATCATCACTCGGTGTAACAACTGCATCAGCTAGTCAATCATCAATTGGTGTATCAACTGCTTCAACTAGCCAATCAACAATTGGTGTATCAACCACATCAACAGGACAGAGTGTAGGTGGTTACTCCACATCAAGTGGAATCCTATCAGGATACTTTGGTTCATTAACTTCCTCTAAAACCTCAACAAGTACAACAACAGGATCAGCTGGTGGATCCACCTCAAACTTTTTATCAGGAGTTATTTCTGGTTTAACAACTTCAAAAACAACCGGCTTAACTAGTTTTATGGGTATTAGCTTCGAACAGGTTGATATAGATAAACCAAAAGAAATAAATCAAATATCAATTAAAAAATCAGAACAATCTCCAGCTTTTATAAAAGATACTAATGAAAAAGAAATAGAAAATGAAAACTATGGTATAAATAATGTCGAACAATTAAATAATAATAATAATAATAATAATAATAATAATAATAATAATAATAATAATAATATAAATGAAATATAGATATAATTATCTATAATAAAAAATATAGAAAAGATTAAAGAAAACCATATTTAATTTAAAGAATGTGATAAAAACGAAAAATGACGAAATATAATTTATTTACAAAACAATTAAAATATAAATAAAATAAAAATAGTATTTTTATTAAAAAACATTATGCTTTTCTTTATTTTTATAAGTAATTTGTATATTCTGGTTTCTCTTCCCATAATTCATTTTGACCATCAATATATTTTCTTTTCAATAAAGATAATTGTTTATTTGTTAGGTTTTCTACAGTTGGTATATTAATAAAATAGAATGGTTTACCTTTAGAAAAATGATTTTAAAATATTAGTATTAGATATTTTTTTAAAGTTATGTCTTTAAAGACCTACCCAATTTATTTATCTCACTTAATCCATGAGTATGAATACCACAATCTCCACAAAAATAGTGATGAGTTTCTTTATTTCCAAACTGATAAAGTTTCAAAGACTCTTTTCCTTCAATAATTTCGAAACTATCTAAATCAAATACTCTTACTTCCCAAAATCTAGCTTGCCAACAGTAAGCTTTTTTTTTGAAATTACATTGATTTAATAATTTTTTTTTTTCTGTAATAATATATTTATTCTTTTACTTACAACAATTACAAATTACCGTTGTAGTATTATCAATAATATCCTCAATTTTAAATCTATATTTGATCTTTTTGCAATGACATGAACCAAAATACTCTGCCATTCTTAAAAACTTTTTTATTATCAACAAAAATAAAAAATTAAATTAGTTTTTAAAAAAAATTTTATAATTTTTAAAATTTTGTGTTCCAAAAAATTGATGAAATTTTTAATTTTTTTTTCCCAAAGTATAATCTCTTTAATATCTTTAAAAGTAATAATAAAGTTAAATTAATTCCATGTTATTTATAAATAATTGAATATCTATTATATTTTTCAAAATCAACTTTCTTTTTTTTAAATATATAATTTGGTTGGAATTTCAATAATTTTATCAAAATTGAAATTATTATTAGATTTGTAAATTTTGGCAAAATAAAAAAATAATCACCACAAATTTAAAAGATAAGATTATAGGTTTTGATTTTTGAATATCTATTATATTTTTTAAAAGTGATTTCTTTAAAAAGATTATCTATAGATTTATCTAAAATAATTAATCAATCATTTTTTTTTCTTTTTTTTTTTTTAAAAAAAATAAATTTGAAATTTTTTTTTTTTTTTGTTGTTATTTTTAGCCAAAAAATTTATAATAATATTGGAGTATTGGGGTTGTGCGAAGTGTGAAAAGAAAATAAAAAAACTGTTTTTTTTTCTTTTAAAAAATATTTGTGATTTTAGTTTGTCACATATATAATTTATCAACAATAAAAAAAAAATGTTCTTTCCCCAATGAATTTTAATGGTAATTATTTGTTTTTATTTAATATGGACATATATATTTTTATATACACATACATAAAAAATAAATATATTAATTTCATAATCGGTTTATTCTATAATTTAAATTAACTTAATTAGAATAAAAAACATCATAAAACATCATAAGAACCCAACAAGATTTATTTTTTTTTTTATTTTTTTTTTTTTTAAATTGTTATAGTGTGTTTGTATGTAAATGATGGGGGAAATATACAGCGTGGTTAAAAAAAAAACGCAACTCTATCATGATTTTTTATTTTACTCACAACCCATTACATAAAGCATATTTAAATTAACATTAATGTTCTAATGGAAAAGTGTTAATATTAAAATTAAATAAACCAAGATAAATTAGTTAGTTTTTTTTTTTTTTTAATTTATTTTAATATAATATTATAATTATTATTATTTTTGTTTTTATTATTATTAATTAAACAAGTAGATGAAATAATTATAATTATTAATAATAAAAAAAAACCAATATTGGGGCATAAAAAAAAAAAAAAAAAAATAATAATAATAATAATAATGTCTTTATAATAATTAAAAGAAAGTAGAAAAGTTTTAATTCGACATAATATTATTAACAAAAATTACGGTAATAAAAAACATTAGTGTTGCATCGTTTAAAGACCCTTTAAATTAAATTTTTGTTTTCACAAACACCCACAAAAAAAAAACAATCCTCATTCCTGTCAATAGTTCTCACTTGGTTGAATTTAACAACCTCTCTACCATATCATATAATCACCTAATCTATATTGTGTTTTTCAACAACGAAAAATCTCTTAAGAAAGATTTTTTTTTTTTTATATACCTAAGAATAGGGTAATTATTATTTTTTTTTTTTTCTTTTAATTTTTTTTTTTTTTTTTTTTAAAAAATTAATATTATATAATTAATTTCAAAACCAAAGATTTTTTTCATGGTTACATTATAAAGTTTAATACATTAACAAAAATTTTTTATTGGGGTTCCCAATATTGGGGAATAATTTTTTTTTTTTTTTTTTTTTTTTTTTTTTTTTTTTTTTAAAATCAAAAAATTATTTAAACTAATTGTAAAACTTTAATTTATTTTTTTTATTATTATTATTTTTATTATTTAAATAAATACACACTATTTTATTCTTAAATTTTTATTTTATTTACTAAATAAATTTAAATTTATTTATGTTTTTTAAAAATGAAACCCCTTCGATTTTTCATTTTATTTTTAATTATTTTTATTATATTTATTAAATCATCATCCTCTTTAACATCATCTTCGTCTTCATCTTCTTCGTCTTCAACCGCTAGTCTTTTATTGCCATATGATTTTATTGTTGTGGGTTCTGGTGTTTCTGGTTCTATTTTAGCTTACAGACTTTCTCAAAAGGGATACTCAGTATTAATTATTGAAGGTGGTGGTAAATCGATTGGAGTATTAGGTGGTGTTGATTATGTAGGAACCAAAGGTACAATTGACCCAAATACAAATGTATATACACCATTGGTAGGTATTTTTATTTTTATGTAAATTATTATTATGAGTGTTAATTCTTTTTTTTAATTTTAGAAACCATTAACAAAATATGATGTTCCATTTTATTTTCAATCTGCTGATATAACAGGTAATAGATGGGATATAGAGGGTACAAATGTTGCCAAAATGATTGGCGGTTCTGGTTTGCATAATGCAATGTAAATATTAATTGTTTCTATTTTATTTTTTAAAAAATGATCTAACATTTTTATTTAAATAGGGTATACCAAAGAGGTATTGAAAGCGATTATAATTGGGGCTTAACTGGTTGGAACTATCAAGATATGCTACCATATTTTTTAAAAGTTGAAACTATTTTAGACGCAGATTTACAAACTAGTAACAACCATGGTCATACTGGATTTATAAAAGTTAAAAGTATTCCATTTGATAAAGAAGGTAATGATTATATAAAATCTTGCAACGCCAGTGGTTTACCATTTAATGGTGATTTTCAAACAGGGCCAAGAGCCGGCTGTGGTTATTTCCATCTAAATATTGACGAAAACGGAGAGAGATGCTCAACTGCCCATCAATATCTTGTAAAAGCTCTTCAAAACCCAAGAGTTAAACTATTAGACTCTGCTACTGTTGTAAGAATTAAATGGATTTTCAATATTATAACTGGTAAAAGTGAAGCTATTGGAATAGAATACTTTACAAATGACCAACCTAATACAATTAAAACCTTATTCTGTAACAAAGAGGTTATTCTAGCTGCCGGTACTTTAAATACTCCAAAGATCTTGATGCACTCTGGCATTGGTGATGCTAATTTACTTGCACAAACTAAATACAGTAACTTTATTACCCCAGTCAAGCATTTACCTGGTGTTGGAAAAAACCTACAAAACCATTTCATTGTCTTTAACGTTTGGAGCTACAGCGATGCCGGATCAAGACCAGACTACTATAATACCTTTAATATTAATTTAGAGTACTCTACATTAGGAACTGGTATATTAGCGACACCAGGTTTCTCTGTAGGTGCATGGTTAAAACCAAATGCCTCTGCTGTCAATGCCGATTCTATTATGACTATTTTCCCAGGCGCTCTAGGTTCTACATTACCAGGTATGATGACATTTGCAATAAGTCTATGTGAACCAACCCCAAATTCAAATAATTTCTTAACTCTTAATGACAATACCAGTGGAAATGCTGCCCAATTCTACAGCAGAGGTGCTAAAGTTTCATTCACACCAACTCTCGAAAATAAAGATGTTAAAAAACTCGTTGCTAGTCTTAAGGAATCAAGACGTATCATGGCATTCCCACCAATGTCAAATCTTGCAACACCAGTTCAACCAGGACCACAAATAGATACTGACCAAGAAATTGAAGACTATGTTTCACAAAATATTGTTCCACACGATCATTGGGTTGGCACTTGTAAAATTGGGGATCCTGCTTCTGATCCAAATGCTGTTGTTGACGTTAATCTTCGAGTAATCGGTGTAAACAAAGTTAGAGTAGTTGATGCATCACTATTCCCAATTATTCCACACGGTCTCGTACAAGCATCTGTAATGGCTCTTGCTGAAAAAGCTGCAGCTACAATCTTGAAAGATTATTAATAATTAAAATTCTTTTATTAGAAAAAAGTTCGATTTAATATGTAAAACTATATTTATTTTTTTGTAACATTACTATTATAATAAAAAATAAATCAATTTAAAAAAAAAAAAAAATCTTTTATTTTACCATTAAAAAAAAAAAAAAAAAAATAAATAAATGAGATTAATGATTTATATAATTATTGTTTATAAGATATATAATCATAAAAAATAGAGGTTCCAATATTGAAGAATTTTTAAGTGGGGCGTCAGGGTTTAAACATATGTTTTTTTATGAAATTAAATTTTTTTAAAAATATAAATAATTTAAAAATAAATATAATTATTTAAAATTTTTTATTTTTCAAAATAATTTTATTATAAATTTGTAATTTATTTGGTTAAAGCTTTATCTAATAGAAATAACAATAATTAATAAAATAATCAGATATTACAAAATTAAAAAAATAATTTATTTTAAATGGATTCATTTTATGATAATAATAATAGTTTAAACAACTCTTTTGAAAACTATAATAGTATAAATTTTTTAGATGATGAATATGATAATAGTGAAAATAATAATAATATTGATAATAGTATAGAAAAAAATAATGATCTTTATTCAAATTTTTTTTCAAATCATAACATATATCAAGATACCGAATTAAACCAAAAAAATGTGTGGGAAGGATATATAAATAATAATAATAATATTGAAAATATCGATGATTATAATTTATTATCACATGTACCAGAATTTATATCTCCACCCACAACACCTTCATTTTTTAATACCCCAATAAATCAATTAGATAATATTCATCAACAAGAAAATTCCATTGATGATTCACAGCTATCTTCACCCAATTTACCATTAGTACCATTAGTACCATTAGTACCAATAATAGAGTCAACAACTATTATTAATCAAAATCAACATTTAATATCATCACCTACATTACCCTTTTCACCTTTATTATTATCTGAAGATGATTATATAACTAAAACTTCAACAACCTCAACTCCCACAATTTTTGAAAATGATGATTGTAATTTTATTTTAAATATCGGAAACAATGATAATAATATTAGCAACGATAATAAAGATGATAATACCAGTAACGATTTGATCTCTAATAAAGATCAAAGTGATTTAGAAAATAAAAGAAATACCAACCCATCCACAATTTTCGAAAATCATAAAGTGAAAATGACCCCACCACAATCAAGAAGTAATGGAAGATATACAAAAACTCCCAAAAGTTGTACTTGCCGTAGTTTAAAAAACTCTACATTAGAGAAATGTTCAATTAAATTATGTGGATGTAGAAGATTTAATAAAGGATGCTCCATTAAATGTTGCTGCTTAGGAAATTGTAGTAACGGTCCAAAAACAAATAAATTTTTAGATGTCTGGAGAGTAAATGAAATTAGAAACCACATTATTGGCTTTATCAAACCAAATTAAATTACTATAATTTAATTTTAAATTTATATAAAAAAAAAAAAAAAATAAAGAAAATTTAATCATATTTTTATTAATTGATTAAATTCAATTAAAGTTTAGGTAATTTAACACATCGCGTGCATTAAAAAAAACTAAAAAATTTAATTTTGTAAAAAAAAAAAATTTTGAAAAAAAAAAATTTTATTTTTTTTCATTTTTTTTTTTATTTTTGTTCGAAAGTTTCATTTTCTAAATTTTTTTTTTTTTCTTTCATTAATTTATTTAAATTGTCATTTCATTTTAGATAACTCAGAGATAATAAAATGTATTATCAAAAAACAAAAAAAAAGATAAATGAATCATCTCAACAACAATCATTTAATAATAACAATAATAACACAATAAAATCTTCAATATTTGATGGTGCCGGATTAACCAATTTTAAAAAACAAGAATACAATTTAACACCAACATTCGATTTACCATTCATTCTTGCACAAACTATAAATGAAACAGGCAAACCAATTTCAAAATTAAATTTATCTGGTTCATTAAATAATGATGGTAGTTGTTTTATAATTTTTGATAAAAATTTATATATTTGGTCAATCGACGTAAGTAATAATAACAATAATAATTAACAATAATGATAATAAAAAAATCTTTACTTATATTTTTTTTTTCTTCATCTAATATAGAGACCAGAGTATTGTGATAAAATTGAATTATTAGAAAATATTAAAAGAAATCATATCGTTGTTTATAAAAATAAAATATCAAGTGATAGATTTACAGTATTTATTTGTTCACCAATTACAGGATTTATTAGATATTGGGGAAACTCATCAAGACCAAATGTATCTCAAGATTTACCATTAGATAGTCCAAGTGGAAATAATTTTAATATTTATATTACAGAATGCAATCCAGGTGTAATTGTCGGTAATTCATTGGGATCAATTTATTTAGTATCAATCAAAAATAATAATCAATTAACATCAAAGAAAATCAATAAACCACAAGGAATGTTTAGCTATTTATATCTTTCAAGACAACTTCCAGTAATTTCAGTTTCATCAGTTAATAATTTACAATCATCATCCCAACAACAATCTTTTATGTCAGGAACTAACAACACTGTAATTAATAGCAAATTTATTTATGTTTTAACTGAAGGATCTTTATTAAAATATGAAATTGCAAACAATGGTACAGAGGCAGTGGTATTAGACTATTTAATTCATAAGGAAATTCAAAAACAATTCCAAGATGTTCCTGATATCAGATTCCATCAAATGTATATAGAAACGGTTCAAGATCAAAATAAAGACCAAGTAGAAATCGTAAATATTATACTCTATGAAACTTCTTCTTCTTCACACAGCCATGTAAATTATTATTTATTCCAAGTTGAAATTCAAAATGAACAAATTTTTAAATCTAAAAGAATTGATAATTTTGTATCAAATAAACAAATTTCAGTAAGTAATCAAATATAATATTAAAATTTTATTTTATTAATTTACTAATATTTAATTTTTAGAGTGGTGGATTAAAACCAACTGAACCAAATTTTTCAACAGATTCAATTAAATACTTTTTAGTTTGGAATGATTGTATTTTTTATTATTTAAGAAATCAATTTTCACAAAGCAATATTACATCAGGTTTAATAAAATTCCAAAATCAAGATATTGCATTTAGTGGCTTCTTTAAGAATCAATTTTATTTCTTTTCAGAAAAAGGTATTATGAAAGTAAATTTATTTAACTCTGGTCAAATTCAATCATCATCACCATCAGGTTCATCAACACCACCAATGTTAATTTCAATGGATACAGATACTGCCACAGTACCAACCATATTATTTGATATCCCACAAAATGAAGAGATGATTTTTGCTAAAAGAAACAATGTATTAAAATGGATGAACTTAATTTCATTGAAACAATTTGATAAAGCTGAACAATTTTTCAAACAATTTAAATCATATCAAGATTTAAACCAAATCATTCAACAAGTTTCTATATTTATTGTTGATCAACAACCATCAAGTAGATTTTGGGCTGATGATGGAACTAAAATGCTTTGTAATTTAGGTACTGACATGTCCGTTCAATTAAAGCAACAATTAGAAGATAAAAAAAAACGTTATGCATTCTTTTTAAAATGTATCTCTGAAAATAACTTGGAAAGATCGTTAAATAACGAAACTAAAGAATCTCTCAGAAAGAATGAAGTTTTAGTTCGTTTAGCTATCGAATTGAGAGATTATCAAAATCATCAAATTTCAAAACCATCTATTTTACCACAATTAATTCAAGACCTAGTTAAAGAATTAAATCCAAATTGGAGCAATATGGGCATGAATATCCATGAAATCTTTTATAGCTATGTTAGTGGTATCGATCAAATTCTCATCAGTATCGTTTCAAAATTACAAGAGCCATTGCAAAAACCAACATCACAAAAAGTTCGTAATCTTTTAGAAGGTTCTGAAATATTTTATAAGGCCATCGAAATCATTCCAGTTGAATTTTTAAATTTACCAATTATCTCCCAACCAAATAAAATAACAGCTCAAACTTTAATGTTCCAATTAATTTCAAATCTGGTCTCATTCATCCAATCTGAATTTAAGCAAAACTCTGCAACTTTAATAATTTATAAAAAAGATTTGGGTATTTCAGATATTGATAATTTATTTTATAATTTATTATTTAAAATTACCGAAAAATATTTATATTCATTAAAGTAAGTATCTTCTAAAACTAGAATCAATATAAATATAAATTAATCAAATATTAATGTTTTATTTTTAATTTTTTATAGGATTAATCAAAATGATCAATTTAATCAAATGAAAACAAGAATTATTGAACCATTTATTTTATTTGGTAAATTTGATGAAGCAATCAAATTAGCAAATCAATTTGATGATTATCAAAGCTATATTGATGTATATATTGCAGATGTTAATAATAGAGATATTCAAATTAAACAGGTTACAGATTGTCTAAAGAAGTTTGAAGCCATGAATACATCACTTTCAAAAATTTATCAATATATGTTAGATAAAGATTTAAAGAGCGAAATTTTACAACTTCCATCCGAATTTAATGACAGTTTAGCTTTATTCCTTCAACAATACTCTGATTTATCATGGATTCATGCAATTAGAATGAAAAACTATTCAAAATCCTCAGAAATTTTGTATGGTAAAGCAAACCAATTATCAGGATCATTTGAAAACCCATTAAAGGAAAAGAAAAATTATCTCAGTGCTGCTAAAATCGCCTTATTAGCTTCTTCAAGTGGTCAATTACAACCAACCCAACAAAATCAATTAAATATCATCAATCAAAATTTAACTTTGATTAAAACCCAAAAGTACTTTTTCCCAAATGCCAAACAAGTCTACACAGCTTCTGATCTCATTAAAGATATTTTAAAACAGATATCCGAATATGAAAATCCTTTAGAAATTTATTTATCTTGCATCGATATCATTTTAGAATCAAATTTATTATTATCTAAATCTGATAGTGACAATTACCTTTTAAATATTTTAAAAATTTCTTTAGAAAAAGAAACGTAAGTAAAAATAATATAAACATTTGTTAAAGTATTTGTATACTAATAAATCCCTATTTATTTTACAGAGTATTTTCTGAAAAATCAAAATCAGATATTCAATTAGATTATTGTATTAGAGATACAGATTTCTTCAAAGTAATCGCATCAGGTTTCCCAAAAGAACTTGCTCAAGCCAATTTACGTTTATTAATCGAAAGCTATTATAATTCAAAAATAAATGAATTTAATAATCAACCAGAAAAAAAGAGAGATTTTGAAATCTGGATCACAAGACTTTTAGAGCTTTCAAAAAATGAAATTTCAAACTAAATAAAATTTTAATTAAAATTAAAAAAGATTAAACATTTAAAATTTATTTTATAAATATTTAAAATAAACGATTTATATAATTTTAGTAAAAAGTACACATAAATTTTAATAATTTATTTTTAATTATATAATATATATTTTGATTTTTATATAAATGTATGTATATTTATATTATTGTAGTTGTAATAATATTAATATAATACAAGAGCTGCTTTAATATCTTTGTTCTCTTGATTATTGTAGAAACCCTTCTTTCTTGATTTTTGCAAAACTCTTTGAAGTTTATCATCGACATTTCCTTTTTGCCATCCGCCCCCTCTATGTTGAGTTGAGTTACGGACCAATAACAAGCTTTGATTTTGTTTACCATCACCCTTTTTACCTCTTCTCCACATTGGTGTTGAAGGTGGTCTATGTTGACTACTTCCAGAGGGTCTATCATCTTCATAATCATCTTCATAATCTTGAATATTTTTACCTTTTGGATATGGCATAACTGAATCTCTTTTTCCTTTAGCGATTTGTTTAATGGTTTCACTACGTTGACGTAATTTTTCTGTTGTTCTATTCGATTTATCTCTAGTTGGTAACTGAATTTCAATATCTTCACCTTGTTTACCGTATTGAATTTGAACAAAGTCATAAAACATGCCTTTTTTAGCTAATAATTCTTCTGGAGTACCCTTTTCAGTAATACCACCTTCAGTTACAACAGCAATAATATCAGCGGTTAAAATAGTGGTTAAACGATGTGCTACAATAATTACAGTACGACCTACAACCAAACGATCAATAGCCTCTTGAACAAGTCTTTCACTTTCTACATCTAATTCTGAGGTTGCTTCATCTAAAAGTAATACAGTTGGGTTTTTAATAATGGTACGAGCAATAGCTATACGCTGTTTTTGACCACCCGAGAGTGATGTGCCTCTCTCTCCAATTAATGTATCGTATTTTTCGGGCATTGCCATAATAAAGTCGTGTGCATTAGCTTGTTTACATGCAGTAATAACTTCATCTCTAGTAGCATTTGCCTTACCATACATAATATTTTCGGCAATAGTACCAGAGAATAAAGATGGCTCTTGATTTACAATTGAGATATGCTGATGAAGATTTGCAACATTGAATTCTTTAATATCTGTGCCATCCAAAGTAATTGCACCACCACTAATATTATATAATCTACCAATTAATGAAAGCATTGTTGATTTACCACCACCAGATGGACCAATTAAAGCTGTAATAGAACCTGGATTAAATTGAATGTCAACGTTGTCTAAAATTGGTTGGCTTGGGTTTGATGAATATGTAAAACCAACATTTTTAAATTCAACAATACCTTGAACTGAATTTCTTTGAATACCGCCCTCTTGTTGAATTTCTGGAACTCTTTGCATAATTTCAAAAAATCTATAACTTGAACCTTTGTATGATTTATAAGTTGTATATAATGTTGCTACGTGTGTTACTGCTGATGTGATAAATGGTAAGAATAGATTGAAAGCAATTAACATTGATGGAGTTAAATCACCATTTCTAACCAATGAGGATCCATACCATAATAAAATCTAATATAAATAAATATTATAGTTAGTTAAATAATACATATTAAAAAAGAAATAATTTAATTTGAAACTTACAAATACTGATAACTGTTCGAAAATACCAGAAGTTGAACTATAAATACCATTCCAAATTGTCATTTTTAATGCAATTTTATAAGAAATATTAATTAAAACTGAGAACTTTGCTACTTCTTTTTCTTCGGATGAGAACCATCTAACAGTTTTCATATTAAAAAGAGTTTCGGCGGCATGGGTAGCAGCATCAGCTAAGGCATCTTGTACTTTAACTGAAATAACTTCGATATAACCACCATAGAATTTAGAGAAAACCAAGAGAATTGGTAATGGACATAAAACTACTAAAGATAACTTCCATGAGATAATAAATAACATAATTAAAGTACCACCAATAGTTGCAATTTGAGTAATCATATTTGGAATACTATCGGAAATAATTGAACGAACGGAAGATACATCACTTGCTAAACGACTCATTAATTCACCAGTCTTTCTTTCATTGAAGAATGCCATATCTTGTTTCATTAAACTTTTGAACATTTCATTACGTAAACGAGCGATGATTTTATGACCTGCTAAAGCTAAAAGAATACCATATAAGAATTGGACAACAATCATACCAATGATAATGAGAGCGAATGTAAGAATGGTTGTTGAAATCTTTTCGCCACTGTCTGAATAGAGAATATCGAAAATATTAGCAGCAACCAACGGAATAGCAAGACCTAAAGCAATATCGACAAATGATAAGATCAAGGCAGCACCAAGGATATGTGACTCTGGTTTACCTAAAGAAATAACCTCTAGAATTGAAATTTCGATTTCTTGACCTGAAATTAATCTACCATCTTCATCATAGACTGGTGGTTCGTATGAATCTTCATATCCACCTGGTGTATGATTGTTACCTTGACCATTACCATCTTCATCAACTTGACCCAATTCAATTGAACCATTCTTAGTATTTCCATCTTTATTTGAATCGCCACTGTTTGCACTTGAAGATTTTCCACCCAAACTCTTACCACCATTAAAGTCGTCATCTTTTTTCATCATTCTATATTTTTCTTGATCTAATGATTTTGATTTATAACATAATAAAATAAAGATAACAACAGTAACAATAATAATACCAAAAACAGCCAATAAAACTATATTATAAAGTGTCAATGCCAATGTTGTAATACATTTCTTTGTAATACCATTATCGTATACATAGCCGGTGTCACATGCATATATTTTACATTTGGTTAAAAGATTATCTTCCCCACATACTTGAGTACCAACACCATTTTCAATTAAACAAAATTGCTCTGGATTATTATCTGGATCATAAAAACATTCTGAACAATAAGATTCCTCCATACCTTTTTCACCAGTAGTTCTAATTACAAGAGCGAATGTTTGATCTGGAACTACAATATTTGCACCAACAACAATAATATCATAACGACCAGCTGGAGCTTGTTTAATACGAATTATTTCAACATTATTGCTGTCATCAAACTCTAAATCTGCAAATCCATTACCATTTAATTGAGTAACATTACCACCGTTTATAAATTGTAACAAAACAAGATCTAAATTATTAACTAAGGTTTTTGCTGACAATGGTGAAGCTGGTGGATCGGTCCAAACTAATGTAATATCGATATCACTTGGTTCGCTGAGAGTAAGACAATATGAAAAAGTATCATTGGTGTTAATGATTGGGTCTGTACCATTAATTGATGATGGAATATTTAAAAAAGTTTTAACAGTACTGCTAGAAGTTTGATTAAAAAGCTTTGAGAGTGAAACACTACCAAAACCTTGTGCATAAATATTGTCAATTGATGTTGAAATAAAATCGGCAGTATTAATAAGAGTTGCTTTAACTAATGCGGCAGATGGGGCAAAACCTTTTTCATCATCCTTAACACCATTAACAAAATATCCCTCTCTATAATATTGACGAACTAATGAAGCAGCAGCAGTCATAACAGCAGCAGCCTGGCTGGAACCTTCCATGGCTAAAAGTGATGGATTAGTTCCAGAAATTGGGTCACAATGATCTGGAGTTGATGGATTAAAAGCACGGGATGAAATTACTGGAGAACCTGGTGCAAGAAGATCTGGCTTTAAACGACCATCAGAGGTTGGTCCAATACCACTAAAAACGCTTGGATAAAACTCTTCATAAATTGATGTATTGGTGGAGTATTGAGTAGCAAGATAAGTTTTGCAACATAATTGTTGTAAAGCTACACTACCACCACAACATTCAGTTTGAATATCTGCTGGATTTGCTTGTAAATCACTGCAAGATAAATCGTAAACTGATTGACCTAAATTACAAACTTTGTTATAAACACTATTATAAATTGAATCGAAATCCCAGTAGTCTAGAGAAGCTGTAAAAATTGATGATGGTTGGTTATAACTGCCAACTACTAATGAATTTTTAGATGTTGATTCTTGAGATAAGGAATATACTGAAGAGTACCCAAAATTGTTACTATTACCTGATGATCTAATAACAAGAAAATCCAAATGTTCATATTGGAATTGATCGATTGCTGAAGTAACTGAGGTATAAAATGGGCCAATATTTGAGTTCCAAGCATCGCAATGAATTTTAGCATTTGTACCATAGGTTTGTTCATAAATTTTTGTAATATTTGATGGAATAGATAGACCACTGTCAGCATTAGCGCTTGCTTGTAAATCGATGAAAGAAACTTTTGAATTTGGTGAACCACCGACATAACCAGCAATTGCTTGAGCTGAACCATCTGGAAGAGATCCTAAAATTGTACCAACGATATGGGTACCATGACCATTTTGGCTATCACCTGTATCACCTGCGCCATCAATTTGTGTGTATGAAATAACCTTTCTATGATTTGGACCGATTGGATTAGTATCATAAAAAAAACAATGATCAACATCGATACCGGTATCAGCGCAACCAATGATTTCGCCATCACCTTTTAAACCCAAGTCCCAAAGAGGAGTTGATTGAACTGAAGCTTTACCATTTTGAATTGAATAATGTGAATTTATATTACTTGGATGATTCTTTGTTTGTTTAGAAATTGGTTCGATCCAATAAACAAGTGATTGAGTTGATAATTTATAAATAATGTTTTCGACTATATGATCATTGTTGATATTATTTAAATTTAATAAAATTATTATTGAATTATTATCTGTTGATTTTAATATATCTGAAACTAAAACATTGGATGAAGAGGATGAAATTTTAACTGCACTATTTAATTCCTGTTGTAATTTATTTGAAATTTGGTTATAATCTTCATTTTTCGATACATGGTAATATACTTTTAATTGGATGATATCTGATTTACTTGTAATTAATTTAAAAAGAGGGGATTGCTTTAATCTTGGCTCTAATGGCTTTGTCCATTGTACTGATGGAATACTCTTTTTAATTTCATTAATTGAGTTGTGATTATTTCCTTCGACGATTGAAACTAAATAACTATTATCTGGAATATAATGGATAATTTCACCATTATGTTTTGTTTTTAAAATTTCATTTAATTGAAGATAGGTTGATTTTTTAATTGGACCTTCTAAGTGAACTAAATAAATATTTTCTTTATTATTATTATTATTAAAAATTTTATTTTTTATAGTTGAAGTTTCTATTATTTCTTCATGAAAGTGAATATATTTTGAATTTCTATTTTTATTTAATAAATAATTTTTTATATTATTATTATTTATTGTTGCATTTATTGAAAATATATATAATAAAAATATTATTGAAAATACAATAATAAATTTATTTAATTTCATTTTTTTTTTTTGGGATAAAAAAAAAATAAATGATTTATATCTTTTCTAAAGTATGAAAATAAAAAAATTACTTCCTTTTTTCTTTTTTTTTTTTTTTGCAACAAAAATAAAATAATTATTTTAAAAAAAAAAAAAAAAAAAAAATCAGTTAATAAAAAATTTTATAAATATCTTGGGACCCTTTACGAAATATGGTTTTTTTTATTTTTTAGTTTTTTAAAATAATTGAACCAAAAACCTGTATAAATATTTAAAAAATAAAATTAAAATATTTTAAAATTTTAAAATTTTAAAATAAAATTTAGTAAAACGTTTTACACAAATAAAAAAAAGTTTAAAATTTAAAATTGTTGCACACCAACATACATTGCACATTACCACTGTCGGTTTCCAAGATTTTTTAAAAATGATTTTTATAAAGCAGGGTGTGTTTGATTTTGATTTTAATTTTAATTTTATTTTTTTTATTTTTTTATTTTATAAAAGTATTTAAATTATTTATTTATTGGTAAAATCTTCTTTTACCTTGTTTTTCGTGTGATACTAAATATTTATCGATTGTATCATTAAGTGAAGCTGAGGTTTTGGTAATTGAAGCAAGATATGTAACTAATAAAACATCATTGTACTCTTGTAAATAGGATCTCTTAAAGTCGTGGGTATCAATGGTTGGTAATTGATTACATAATGATTTAACTTTTCTTAAAATACCATGTTCATATGGTAATCTCTTTTCTTTAACTGCTTGTAAATAATCGCTGAGGGCTTTAACACGGATATTCAACATTGAAATTGCATTGTGCATACTTAATAAATGAGTTGTTACTATAAAAAAATAAATGAAAATTAATACCTAATTGTATTTTTATACTATTATTTGTTATTATATTGCTATTGTTGTAGCTACTGCTGCTAGTGTTGCTGTTATTGTTATTTTATTGTTGTTTTATTTATTCTATATACATACAACCTGAACCTTCGCTACCTGATGGTGTAACTTTGGCAATGTGATTAACACCAATTCTTTCAGCTTCACCAGTTTGAATTTTAAATGGAGTTTTAACAAAAATTGTAGTTGGTTCGTCACCAACCATGTGTAATTCTGATTCATAAATATATACTGGAAGATCTTTATTTTTTGATGCAACTGTATCTAACATTAAATATAGAGGACTTTCATTAAACTCTAAAATCTAAAAAATAAATATGATTAATATGTGTTTATGTTTGGTGGTAATGTAATGGTTATTGCTAAAATTAAAACATACTTGTTTGTGAAGTAAAATATCATCTTTTGAAACTTCAGAACCTGTGGAGTACCAACCCAATAAATCGTAATTTGGGAAAACTTTTTTGACTATTTTTTTGAATAAATTATAATGATTTCTGTTAATATACCACAGTTTTTTTTTTTATTTTTTATTTTTTTTAATTTATTTTCACTACTTACATTGTTCATACTTTTTCTTTAAATATGCGGTATCTAAAACCAAAACCTTTTCAACTTCTGTATTAACTAATTCAAAAGAGTTACAAATTTCTACATTTCTACCATTTTGAAGACCAAGAATTACACCAATAACTCTAGTATTTGAATAATTGTTTTCAACTTTTTGACGAGTGAAATGATCACTAATATTAATTAAAACCAATGGATGTAATTCGACTTCTAAACCAGAAGTATTGCTACTTTTTTCTAAAACAATTTTGTCTGCAGCAGTTGGTTGAGACATTTTATACAATCTATATCTAAAAATACAAAGGAAAAAAATAAAAAAATATAAATAAAAATTTGAAAATAAAAATTTGATTTAATTAAAAAAAAAAAAAAATTATAAAAAAAAAAAAAAATTAATTAAAAAATTGAAATAAAAAAATTTTAAAAAAAATTAAGAAAATTTTATGATTTTTTTGGAATTTATATACCCAATTATACAAAATAAATAATGAAAAATAAATAATCCCCAAACAATGATATTCAAACTATATTTGTAAATATAAAATAAATAATATTTTTCTTTTTTTTTTTTTTTTTATAAAAATATTTTTTAAAAATAATTTTCAAAATAATTTTTTTTTTTTTTTTTTTTTTCATTTTTATATTTAAATATTTAAATATTACAATAATAAACAAAAAAATAATTAAACAATAGTAATAATAGTAATAAACTATGAGTGATATTATTAAAACTTTATTGTCACCAAAAGAATTTAAAAAATGTAATGTTATTTTTGATGGTTCAGAGAGAAGGTTCAAGAAAGAATGGAGTTGCTTTAATCAATCAAATAGTTGGGTGCAACTATTCCATGATATTATTATTTTATGTAATGGTGTTAGAAGCTCAGTTTTAATCGACTATATGGTACCGGAGTGGGAAGATTTAGTAGAGTTTTTGGAATATCTCAAATCAAAATCTGAACTGGTTAAATGTTTACCAAATTTAACAGATATACAAATAATATTTTTAGATGATTTCCTATTCTTTTTAGTAAACAAAGCAAAACTAAATGAAAGAGCTATTCAAGACCAATCCACTTCATTTTCAAACTATTTATTTATCGATGTTTCACCATCAAACGAAAATCCACAACTTTGTAATAACTCACAATATCATATTAAACTATTAAATAATTTAATCTCAGTAATAAATAATAATAATAATAATAACACATCAATTAAATTAAATAACCACAATGATATTTTAGAACTAAATAAAAATTACTACCCAATTATTTCAGGATGGTTGTGTGAATATCCAATTATTTATTGCAACAGTGGTTATTTTCAAAATTGTATCAGTTTAAATGAAAATCTTAATAATAATACAATCAACATTGATCAATTAAATAAAGATTGGGAAAATAATAATTTAGGTGGTGATGAATTAATAAAAATTCAAGTTCAATTAGAAGAACCAATCAATCAGTTTTTACCAATAGATATTTTAAAAGTGCAATCAATTGTCAGAATTTGTGCATTTACATGCCCACAGTCATTATTTAAAAATGTTGAATCCTATTTATCAAATTATGAACAAAGAATATTAGAGAGATTTCAAAATTCAACCTTCAAAAACTATTGGAAAAATATAAAGTTTATAAAAGATGTAATTTCAAATCCCTCAATCAGATTGTAAAAAAGGTCTATATCTATTTTTTTTCCCCTTTTCAAAAAAAATAAAAAAAATTTTTATTTTAAAATAAAAAAAAAAAATTAAAATAAAAAATTAAAATATTTTTAAAAAAAAAAAAAAAAAACGAAAAAAAAAAAAATTCTTCATTATTGTACATATTTCTAAATTATAAATAACTATAAAATAAATCATATATAACCACAAAAATAAAAAATTAAAAAAAAAAAATTAAAAAAACCCACCAAAAAATAAATTGTATAAATACCCACCAAATTTTTTTTTTTTTTTTTTTTTTTTTTCAAAATACGACAAATATATTAACATAACAAAGAGATATGACATCGCCATCGTCTTCTGATAACCATAATATATCAGAAGAATTAAATAATGAAGGCAACCAAGAAATGAGTGATGGGGAAATTGTTGATGATAAAACAACAGCAACAGCCAAAGCCAGTAATATACAAGAAAATATAGAAGATAATAAAAAAGAAGAAAAAGAAGAAATTGAATTTAGAGATATCGAAAAAGAACAACAAGTTTTAAATAATTCAAACTGTATAGAAAAAAACAAAATTGAAACAACAGAAACATCAATATCAACAGCAGCAACTACGACAACAGCAGTTGAAACCAATTTAACTGCTAATTATTTTTATATTGACTCTGAAACAATTGTAAATGAAAACGAGCTTATTGAATATTCAAATAATAATAATAATAACAGTAATAATATGGACCCACATGCAAGTGGTTATGTTGAACATGGTATGGTAGCACCCAGTGGTTTGGTTTTAAGAAACAGCAGTAATGGAATCGTAACATATAACACACCCATCGAATCAATTCCATATCCATCAATTGTCGGTGATAGATTATATATGCCATTGGCCTACAGTTCAGATCAAAACCGTAAAGAGGAGCTTGATTTTGAAGAAACATTAAGAGATTATAAGAATTTTAAAGAAAAAAAGAGAAGCAGAAGCTATAGTAGTGATAGATCAAGATCAAGATCTAGATCCAGATCAGGAAGAAGAAGAAATTATAGCAGTAGTAGAAGCAGATCAAAAAGTGACAGTAGATCAAGATCAAGATCATCACATAGATATAGCAGCAGTAGTAAAAAGAGCAGCAGTAGAAGAAGAAGAAGATCAAGAAGCAGTAGTGACAGTAGATCAAGATCAAGATCAAGTAAAAGATATAGCAGCAGCAGGTATAGCAGCAGATATAGCAGGAGTAGATACTCGTCAAGAAGAGGCAGTAGAAGTCGCTCAAGAAGTCGTAGTTACAGTCGTTCAAGAAGAGATAGAAGCAGAAGTCGTAGTTATAGCAGAAGAAGGAGTTATTCCACATCATCTTCAAGATCACGCTCAAGATCAAATAGAAAAAGATACTCTAGATCAAAAAGATCAAGAAGCACAAGTTATTCAGATTCTTCAAGATCACGTTCAAGATCAAATAGAAGATCAAGAAAATCAAAATCAAGATCAAGATCAAGAGATAAACACTCATCCAAAAACAAATCATCAACAAGTAATAAAAAAGATGATAAAAAACCATCATCAACAATAACAATATCAGCAACAACAACAACAACAACAACAATAAACAATAATGAACCTCATAATAATAATAATCATCATCATCATTTACCACCACCACCACCACTACCAAATGTAAATAATAACTTTAACCAAATTAATCAACCAACAAATTATTTTGAATTAGTTGGCATAAAACCAAACCAACAAACCAGTTTTGTAACATTTTTAAAACCAGATGGATCATGGTTCGATTCAGATGAAAGCTCAAAGGCCTCAACACCAAAAATGCATTTAATCGTTGATATTGACCATACACTTATTCATTCAACTAAAGATCCAAATGGTGAATCATATTTTTTAAAAGATAAAACAGTTCACAAAATTTCATTCCCAGAAACCAATGAAACATTTTATGTCAAAGAAAGACCAAATGCAATCGAATTTTTAAGAACACTATCACAACAATTCTATATTTATGTTTACTCTTTTCACCCAAAATACTGTATGTATTTAAATAATATAGCTATATTTCAACAATATGTTTTATAAATATTAACCATTTCATTTATTATTATTATTACAATTTAGATGTCGAGAGAGTTGCATCAATTTTAGATCCACATTCAAATATTTTTTCAAAAGTAATATCAAAAGAAATTATAGAATCAATTGAAAATATTAAAATTTGCAGGGAAAATAATAATTCACAAAAACCATTTATTGTATTCAATGAACAAAATGTACCAAAAATATTTAAATTTGAATCAATAAATCAATTAATTATATTGGATGATCGTGAAGATGTTTGGAGGAACTTTCAAGATAATCTTATACTTTTAGATACATTTAAATATTTTAATAAGGAAGTACAAGATTTCACACCGATCTATCAATATCCATTTTCATTCCAAGAGCTATCACGTGCATTCCCATTCCCAAATATCACAGAGTCATTAAATAATAATAATTTCAATAGTAACCTAAACCAAATCATTAAATGCTCGCAATATCAGCAACAGCAACAACCCACCCAACAACCACCTCAACCAAATATAAACTTTTTATCATCAAACCAACCCTATTTAGATATGTTTTCATGTTTATTAGGTGCAATGCAATCAGAATTCATTTCAAGAGAGATTACCGATCCTTCATTACATATTAAAAGTGTTATTCAAGAGATTAGAAGCAGTGTATTAATGGATTGTAACATTGTTTTTAGTGGTATTTTTCCTAAACAGATTGATCCATCCAAACTTTGTCATACCAGAGTTTCAAAAATTACTGAATCTTTTGGTGCTTCAATCTCTCAAGAAATAGATTCAAATACTACCCATGTTATCTTTATTAAAGAGGGTACTTCTAAAGTTTTACAGGCTTTAAAAAATCCAAATATTAAAGTAGTTCATTTTGCTTGGTTAAGAGATTGCATTCATCGTTGGGAAAGAATTGATGAATTAAATTACTCTGTAAATTCCTATCAAAATTTAATTAAACTTAATTAAATAATAATAATAATAATACAATAATAATACAATAATAATAAAAACAACACAATATCATTATTATATTTTAATTTATTTATTCTTACCAAATATTTTTTATAAAATAATAAAATAATTTGAAAAAAAAAAATTTAATAAAATTTATTATAATAAAAAATAATTATTTTTAAAGTTTAAAGTTTATTTATTTATTTTTGTTTTTTTTTTTTTTTTTTTTGAAAAGTTATCGGATTTTTTTGAATAGGTTATCATTTTTTAAAAATAAAAATTATTTTTATTTTTAAAATGAAAATATTTTGTAAATGAAATTAATATTAATATTAATTTCATTTCATTTCATTTATTTTAATATTTATATTAAAATAAAATTATAATTTTTTTATATTAACTATTTATTATTTTATATAAAATTATTTTAATTATTTTACCAAAGCTGAAAAGGTTTTGTGATTTGGATTTTTTTGGTGGGTTGGTGTTGGTGTGGAGGTGTTTTTAAAAAAAAAATTATAATTTTTTTATTTTTTTATTTTTTTTTTTTTAAAATTAATTTTTTTTATTTTTAAAAAATAATTTTATTTCCTTTTTTTTTTATTTTTTTTTATTATTAAATTATTTTTCACATAACAATTATAATTATTATTATATCTTTATAATTTATTTTTCTTTTTCTTTTTCTTATTCTTATTCTCTTTCTTTTTTTTATTTTTTTTATTTCAATTTTGTTAAAGTTAAAAAAAAAAAAAAAAAAAATGGAGGGTAAGTTTATCAAATTTTAACAATGAAAAGATACACACGGTTATTTAAAATAAAGATATTAATATGTAATACTTTTTTTCTTAAGTATTGGCTTCAGAAATATCAAATGAAAAATATGTTCTTACAGAGGAGGAGGACGATTATTATGAATATATAGATAATAGTTCCGAATTAGAATATAATATTTCAGACAGTAGCAGTGATAGTAGTGACAGTGGAAGTGGTTCAGCAGAAAATAATAATAATAATAAAAATAGTAATATAAAGCACAGAAAAAGAACAAAGAGAATAAATAAACAAGTGGGCGATAACAAAGAGGGTAACAACACAAGCAGCGATAGTAAAAACAAAGATTTATCATCATCTTCATCATCAACTCAATCATTAGCAGCTGATGGTGCCGATTCAAATATTGGTGGTAATGACTCTTCAAAATCACCATCATATTTAAGTGTTACAAGCGACGATTCATTATCTCAAAAATCACCAGTATTAGGGCAACAATCGTCACCAACAAATTCTATTGGAATATCAGGTAGCAATAGCAATGGATTTTTATCAGATATCGACGATGATTTATTGTCATCATCTCATGACCATCACCATGATGTTAATGACAACAATAAGGAGTTACCTCTATTAAATTTGTTCCAAAAGTTTTTAAATAGAGAGGCAATTAAAATGTTACAACAAAGACACATGGCTATTAATAACCGTTTAGATAGATTAAAGAGAGCTGTCAAAGCTGTGGATCCAGGCAAAATAAGAGAAAAAGGAAGAAATTTAAGAAATGAAAAGGAAAAAATTAAAGCATTAATTAAGCTCAAAAAGAACGAATTGGACGAAAATATGAAAGCACCACCATTTATTAGATTATTAGATAAAATGTAGGTTACAAAAACAAAAACAAAAAAAAAAAATATGTATATTAATAATTTTCTTTTTTTTTTTTTTAATTATAGCGCATTTACTTTAGGTTTAATCGTCTTATTCATTTCAGAATTTGTTTTATTAAGAATACCACAATATATGTATCTTTGGTATACTATATTAATTTTCCCATTAATGGCAATTAGATTTATAATGTATCACAGAGACAAATATCATTATTTCATGTTGGATTTCTGTTATCTCAGTCAAATTTTATTATTGTTTTATCTTTTTGGCCACCAATATGTATTAGGGGAGCAAGCTACACCAAATCTTTTCAAATTAGTATTCGCTCTTTCCAATGGACCATTAGCTTGGGGAACTATAGTGTGGAGAAATAGTCTTGTATTCCATGACGTTGATAAGTTAACATCTGTGTTTATTCATCTTTGCCCACCAATTGTTACTTATTGTTTACGTTGGTATCCAAATGTTTATCCATTAGAAACTGCATGCGGTGGTGTAGAATGTTATCTTACAATGAAGGAAAATTTCTTGATGCCTCTTTATGTTTACTTTTTCTGGCAAACCTTCTATTACATTAAAACCGAAGTAGTCGATAGAAAGAAATTAGCCAACGATAAAGATATTATGACAAGCAGTCGTTGGATGTCTGTTAAACAACCACATCCAATCTATCAATGGTGTCAAAATCATGGTTACAATGTTAGTCCAGTCGCAATTTTAATGTTGGTCCAATTATTCTATACCTTGGGTACTGTTATCACTGTTCCATTCATCATTAGATCTTTCTGGCTTCACACTGCTTTCATGATTTTTATTTTCGTCGCCGTCAGTTGGAATGGTGCCTCATATTACTTTGAAGTATTCAGTGAAAATTATAGCTCAAGATTAAAATCAGAAATCAAGAAAAATGAACCAAAACCAATAGAACATTTAAAAATATCATCAATTATGTCCTTTTTTAAATTTTTATCAATATTTTTATTATCTTTATTAATATTTTTAAAATTAATATTATAAACCAAATCATATAAAAAAAAAACTATATATCAAAATTTATTAAAAAAAAAAAAAATAATACAATAATATTATAAAAATAAATAAGTAAATAAATAAATAAATAAAAATAAATAAATAATAACAATCATAATAATAATAATATATAATACTTTTTTGTAATAAATTCAATATATAACAACCTTTAAATAATAATTTTAATTGTTATTTTTAAATTGTAAATTTTCAAAGTTAAAAAAAATATTCAATTTGTTTGTGAAAAAAAAAAAAAAAAAGAAATTTTACAATATTTTATTTATAATTATAATATTTAAAGGAAAAATGAAGATAGAGATGAAGAAGAGAATAGGAAGAGGAAAAAAATATATTACAAAAAAGAAATATAAACAAAAAAAACTATATATTTAATTTTATTTAGGAATTTTATTGTTGGAGCTTTTTATTTTTTTGAACATTTGCAAGAGTCGGTACCACATTTACAATTGCTATCACATTTGCAATCGGAACCGCATTTACAATTGTCCCATTTACATTTACTTTCAGTTTTGGCTGGAGGACAAGTACATGAATCACCACGTGAGCAGCTATCCCCACAGGAACAGTTATGTTTTGTCTAATTATTTAAAAAAAAAAAAAAAAAAAAAAAAAGAGTTAATAATGATTTAATTATATTATATCTTGAATTATATTTATTTACCATTTTAAATTTATTTAATTTATTTAAAGTATAAAAAAACTTTGAATGAAAAAATTATTAGTTTTAATTTGGAATGGATTATAATTATATATACAATTATGAAAAATATTATTTAATATAAAAAAATTAAAAATAAAACAATAAATATTTTCAAAAATGAAAAAAAAAAAAAAAAAAAATTAAAAAAATTAAAAAAAAAATTAAAAAAATTAAATTAATTTTAAAAAAATAAAAATAAATATTTTATTGGTGTTTGTTACATAGGGGGGCACAAAAATTTAAAATTTACATTAATAATTGTTATTTCTTTCCATAATTTCAATATTGTTATTTTTAAATTTTATTGCAATAATACTTGTATTTATTGAAAATTTAAGTTTTTCATGTTTGTATTTTTTAAATATATAATAATTAAATCTAAGATTATTTTCAGAATGGGAAATTTTATTATGGCACTATTATTATGTAATTTATAATTGTTATTGTTTTCATTTGTTTTTTTTTTGTTTAGCTTTATTTTTTTTGTGTTAATTTGTATGTTATCAAATTAAAAATTTTTTTAATATGGATAGCTATTTGTTATAATGTTATTTGATTAACAATAATAATAATAATAATAATAATAATAATAATAATAATAATAATAATAATAATAATAATAATAATAATAATAATAAAAATATTAATATTATTGTTTCTTCTTTTAAAACCTTTGGGATTACTCATATTAAAAACTCATCAATAATACTTTAGAATCGATATTCTATATGATTTGATTTCTTTTGGTAATTTTTTGCAATACAGTTTTATATTTCTTTATTTTTTTAATTAAATCATTTATATTCTTTTATATATTTCTATAACACTTTTCAAATTCCAATATAGAGTGATAAAAAAAATATATGGTATTTACAAGAAATTATGGAGCTTCTATATCTTGGATCAAAGTCTATTCTACCAATATTTTGAGTTTTTTTTTTATTATTTTACTATTAATATGAGTAGTATTATGTGTTACAATTGTAATTATTATTATTATTATTATTATTATTATTATTATTATTATTGTTATTGTTATTGTTATTGTTATTGTTATTATTACTACCAAAGTCTATTCTACCAATATTTTTTTTTTTGAATTATTTTTTCATACAAACATTATCCTTGCCATTATTGTTAAAGTTTCTATTTATTTAAAAATCTTTGTATAAATCAAAATAAGTTCAGTTATGTATTCTTGATAAATCCTAAAAAATTGAGTATTGTAAATAACTTAATTTGAAATTAATTTGAAATTTAAAAAAAAATATTTAAATTTCCCCCACATATATACCCAAAATTTTTTTTTAATAGGAGGTTTATTATTCAAAATTATTTGCTGTTCATATGGCTTGTTATTAGAACAGATAAAACTAATATTTAAACGCTAAAAAATATTTCATTTCATTTCATTTCATTTTTTTTATTTTTTTTTTTTATTTTATTTTTTTTTTTTTTCAAGATAATTTTAATTAATTTTAAGGTTCATTTATTTTTTGGGTTTCTATAGAATATACCACTTATTAAAAAATTTAAAATGAAAAGATTATATTATTTTGATACATGATTTCCGATTTCTGATAATATCCTCAAAAAAATTATTTAAAAAATTTAAAAAAATTATAAAATTTTTAAATTTTTTTTCTCATAATTATAATATTTAAAATTTTTTTTTTTTTATTAAATTATTAAACTAATAAATAAGCATAAGCAACACTATTATAACAATAATCATTAAAATGGAAAATAGATTAAAACTTTACCAAATACCCTTTGATAACGAAGGATATAGCAAATCATTTTCGTTAGAAGATTTAGATAAAGAGTTTGACGAAACAGAAAATAATAACTTTGATATTAACCCTTATGCTTTCTTTGAAAGATTTGGATTTTTAGTAGTTAGAGGTTGTATATCAGAAGAAGATGCCGATAAAACTCAAAATGAAATATTTGATATCATAGAATCAAAAATATCAACATTTAAAAGAGATGACATATCAACTTGGGATAACGCATTCGAAGAAGGAACAAGTATACCACAATATGGCTCACCCTCAAAACCACCGGTTTTTAAAAGACAATTTTTACTTAATAGAACCAATCCAAATGTTTTTAAAGTAAATATAGATTATTATTAGTAAAAAAAAAAAAATATATTAATTTTTTTTGTTTTTTTTTAACTAAAGGTATTTTCAAAACTATTGAAAAATGAAGAATTGGTAGTGAATCATGATAGATGTTGTTTCTTTAGACCCGGTAAAGTTAATGAAAAATGGAAAACTAGAAATAATGTACACTTAGATATGAACCCTTATAAATGGTAAAATCAACTATTACTTCTTATTTTTTAAAAATAAAGTTATTAATATTTTTTTTTTTTTTTTAAAATTTTTTTAGGATGCAAGATTCAAATGAAGAAAGTAAAAAAGAATTGGATTCATTAAGATATGAAAGAATAGGAGAATTTATTGTTGAAAATAATCAAGTAAATTATAAAGAAGGTTTATCGTTACAAGGTGTTATTAATTTACGTGACAATAAAATTGAAGATGGCGGCTATTGTGTTACACCAGGATTCCATCATGAATTTAGGGAGTATTTTGGAACCACTAAACCACAATTAACAAATCCATCATGGAATTTCCAATCAAAAGATATTGCATTCAAGTGTGCCAAAAGGATATCAATGAGAAAAGGTGACATGGTAGTATGGAATCAGCAAATGCCCCACGGTTCAATGGCAAACAATAGCGATAATCATCGTATGGCTCAATTTTTAAAGATATTCCCACAATCCAATATATCACCAAAAAGATATAAAGCAAGAAAAGAGGCTATGGAAAGAATACTAAAAGAAGAACATAATAATAATTTTCCTTTAGATAATTTAAAAATTCAATTATTGGGTTTAAAATAATTTAAAAACTTAAATAAAATTTATTTATAGCTTTTTAAATGAATGTTATATTCCTTTTCTTTTTGATTATGATATGATTTTTCTGTAAATGATGAATTTTCTTTAAATTTAAATGGGGCTCTATTAACACTATTTATAGTTAGTGTCTGTTTTTAAAAAAAAAAATAATTGTTTTAAAAAAAAAATTTATAAAAAGAATTTATCTTTATCTTTATTTTAAGGCAGCAGTTTTTAAATTAATGAAATCTGGATGGTTATAGAGAAAACCATCAATTGAACGCAGATAGCGGATTGACTAAGATCAGAACTTGTGTCAATTGATTAAGTTTTTTTGAAGCTGCAGGATAGGAACTATTAAATCATTTCTTCTAATGAACCATTAAATCTTTTCTTCTTCTAAATCCATTCGATGATACCATAGTTGCTTGGCCAGAACAATGTCTGATATTCATCAAATAGTTGATTAGAATGAAAAAATTCTTTGGTGTTGATTTAATTGAAGGTCTTTTACTTTGATTGGATCTTTACCTTCATGGATTTTGAAAATATTTGATAAATTCTTCTAAGTCTTTTTTTTTTTTATTTCTAAGGAGCAGTTTCTAATTTTTTTTTTTTTTTTTGATTCATTTTTAATTTATATCTACTAAGATATGTGGAGGTTGATGTTCTAGTGGTGACCACTATGGTGGTTTATTTTGATGATCTTTGTATCTGTTATCAAAATCTAAAAAAATAGTTAGAAACTACATTACTACTTATATAATATTTAAATAATGAATACTATCTGATACCTTATTTTTTTTGAAAATTTGATATTCCTCAAAAAGTTTTTTAGTAAATATTTTTAATATAGTTACCTTATTGAATTATTAGCTGTTATGTTGAACTGGAACATTTAGTATTTTCTTGAATTTTTTCTTGCTTTTATTATAATTTCAATGATTAATTTACATTAATACAGTTATTTATTTTTGTGATTACCTTTTTAGTCAATAAATAGAAAGAAATTAATTTTTATATTTTATCTTTTTTTTCTAAAATGATATTTACTATTTGTTATTATTTTTAATTTATTATTATTTTTTACATAATGATTATTAAATATTCATTTTTGGTGATTTATTAAATTATTTTTTTATTTTTTCTTTATTTTTTTTTATTTTTTTTTTTTATAAATTTATTTAAAATTATAATCCATTAATTTTTTATAATGATTTTAAAAAATTTTTTAATTTAAATTTTTTAATAAAAACTTTTTATTTCAATTTTATTTTTTTTAATTTTTAAATTTCATTCCAAAAAGAAATTTTTTTTATTTTTTTTCTTTATTAATTTATCTTCATACAAATAATAATTTATATTTATTTATTTATTATAACAATCAACACAATAATAATAATTTAAAATAAAATGATTGGTTATATAGTTTTATTTATCCTTCTTAGTTTAGTCCTCGGTTTTTTATCTGGTTTTTTATCCGGTTATGTCCCATATATATTTTCAACCAATAAAAACAATAATAACAACAACAATAACAATAGAAATAACATTGGCAAAGATTATTTACACAGATACAACACCTACATCTACCCACAACAAACTACACCAATCTTTTATACTGCTCCATCAAATAGACCACAACCATCACAAAATCAAATCTCACAACCACAACAAAACCCACAATCACAACAACAAAGCTCTCAACACGAACAACACAATCCATTTTCAAGGGTTAAATATTACCATTACCCATCCAATAACCAAAGTTATGCATCTGATATTATTTTAACAACCGGTGCACATCAACAAAACCCACAATCATTAGAAAAAACTCGTATAGAAATGGAGAAAATGGTAAGAGAGCGTGCAGAAAAAGAGAGATTAGAAAAAGAAAGATTAGAAAAGGAACGTTTAGAACAAAAACAAAAAGATAACGTATGTAATATATGTTATGATGAAGTAGGGGCCATTTATATGGTAACATTAGGTTGTAACCATAAACTTTGCTTAGATTGCATTTATAAATGGTCTAAAAATTGCCCATTTTGTAGAAAAAAAATCACTTCCTTTAAAGTAAGTAATTCACACATTCATATTTATACTTCATAAATAAAAAATATATATTAATTTATTTCTTTATTTAATTTTAGACTGCAGGCGAAACAATTTATCTTGATGATTCCGACGATGATTAATCCAGTGGTGACTCCATTCATTCAGAAAGTCGCCTAGCTCCTGATTCTGTTTTTTTTATAGACGTAATAATATCAGATACACTTGAAATCGATGGCAATTAAATTAATAGTTTAAATACTTCATTCATTGTTTCCTTTATTGAAATAGGTGAAGAACTAAATATTAGTTAAATTGTTTCATTCCCAGTAAGTTTCTAGATATTATATAAATTACAGTTTTCCAAATCATCCTAAACCTCCAAAGGAATTCTAAAATTAGTCACATATACATCAAGATTTAAATAATAAATATCGCATCATACAGTTCAGTTCTACAGAAAAAAGCAAGAAAATGTTCAAGAAAATGTTCCAGTTCAACATAGCAATATCAATAAGTTGCCATTTAAAGTTTCTAATCTAACAATTGGGTTTTTTCGATCTAATATTCAACAACAAAGTGCACGAAAATCTTCAGGCTAACCATAGCTCAAAATCAGGGCACATTTTTAAAGCTCACAACATTTTATTTCACTACCACCGCCTCATTCCTTCAACTAAATCACCATTTCAAAATAATTAAAGTCTTATCCCAGCAGTATAAACACCTTTACAACCATTTCATCAACAATCGAACCCAAATCAGTAATCGAGCAATATAAACACACTCAAACTCATAACCCAGCAGTATAAACACCATTTACAATCATCACATCAACAATCACACACAAATCCGTAATCTAGCAGTATAAACACCATTTGCCACCATCACATCAAAAATCGTACTTAAAATAATAATCAATCAGAATTGCCGCACTAATTCACAATACACTAAACTATATATAGTCATACATAAACCTTCAAAAATAATCAAAAGTATGTATATATTTATAAACAATAATCAACTTATAAAAAAGAATGAAGATATAAACAGAATTATTAACCAGATTATTAATATCAAAGAATAGGTTGGAAAACAATTATAATAATTAACATATAACAATCAAAAAAAAAGTAAATTTAATTCAATTTAATGATTATCAATCCAGAGTTCATTTTTTTATTTTATACAGAGTTAACTAAAGATTATATTAATTATCCATTTATAAATAAAATATATTTATTAAATAAAGATTAAATATTTATTACATCAATTTTTTAAAATAAAAAAAAAAAAAAAATATAAATCATTACTAAAGCAGTGAATATGTATTTTTATAAAATTATTATGAGCAATAATGTTGGAAATAATATTTTTGATTTGATGACGAATTTAACTCTTGGTCAAGATTGTTTCCCTTTCCACTTGAGCTACCACCACTTGAAAAACCACTTGCACCACTAGAGCCACCTCCACTTGCATGATTACCACTAAAACTACCGCTATTACTGCCGCTATAAATACCGGTACCACCAGAGCTCGATAAGATATTGGATGAAGAGGAGTTATAAAAAGGAACTGTTTGAACACAAATTTGTAACAATGGCACTGGATCGTGGCATTCATTTTTTAAACAGGTTACATAATATGGAGCTTGGTTGATACAGTAATAAAATAAAGTTAATCCGTTCAAGAATCGGTATTTGTACCATTGATGACATATTCTGATGAAAGTATATTTTCGGGTTCACAGCTATCTCTCATAAATGAGATGGATGCTGAATTTGGTTGTACAACTGGAGATGATGATACGGTTACTTTAAAATAATAATCTTTATCATCTGCGGACATTGCTTGGTTTAATGTTATTTGATTTTGGGAACACATGAATTGATTTCAAATGATTTTGGACTACCGACACTTGAATCACTTTTTTCCATATCAAAAAAAGTATATATTTTAAAAAAAAAATTTTAAAAAAAAAAAAATATACTATGTTTTTTCCAAAAAAAAGATTTAATTTCTTTTTTTATTTTTTATTATATTACTACCAAAAAATTAATAATACATTTTGTTGTTGTTGTTTTCTGATAAAAATATTAATCTTTAAATCAAAAATTAAATATAGGTTTATTTATTTATTTATATATTTTATTTTATTTTATTTATTAATTTATTTTATTTATTTATTTAAATATTTAAATTATTAATGTAAAAAAAAAAATTAAAAAAAAAATGAAAGTGTGTTAAAAAAGTTTTTATTTTATTTTTGGGTGTGATGATTTTGGAAAAAAAACAAATAAATAAATTTCTCAAGAATAGTGTGAATATGGAGTTAATCAAAATCATGATAATACTAATTCTCATTTATTCATTTAATTATAGCTATGGAATATGGAAAAAGAAAATGGATCATTATTATTATTTTTATTATTTTTTTTTATTATTTTTTTAATTTTTTTATAAAAAAATTTGTTTTTTTTTTAATTTTTTTTTTTTAATTTAATTTTTTAAAATTAATTTTTTTTATTTTTTTTAAATATTTTTTTTTTTTTAATTAAAATTTTTTTTCTTTTTTTAAATTGTATATATTATAAAAAACAATAAATTTGAATAAATAGTTGAAAATAATAACAAATAATTATCAACAATAACAAATATCTCATTTTAAAAACTCAATTTTATAAAAAAATCATATAATTAATTCCTTATTTAAATTATTAAGTTTAGAGTGGTGGTTTAGAATTTTAATAATATAAATTTAATAAAGTTATATTATTATATTTTTCCAATCATTCTCTTTATTAATAAGTAAAGAGTTAATATAAATTAAATATCAAACATTACGGATCCAAATAACAATATTAATTTATCGAGGGTAGACACACCCCAATCATCAGGCGTACTAGAAACAACAAATAATAATAGTAACAGTAGAAATAATAACCAAATAGGTAATAATAGTAATAATAGTAGCAATATTATTAATGATAGTAATAATACTAGAACTAATATAACTCAAAATACACAAATAACAGAGGAAGATATTGTAACCCATCCAGAATCAGATAGACCACATAAAAAACAAAGAACATTAAATAAAAATATGTCTTATGAAAATTCAAATGAACCAAATGATGATAAAAATAACAACAATAATAATAATAATATAGACAGTAACTCCAAATCACTCACAAACAATAAGCATAATCATAAAGAACCATATTTCAATAGAACTGAGCTGGTTAGACTTTTAATTCAATCATTGGATAGTTTAGGCTATGAGTAATTATAGAACAATATAGTATGATTATTTCATTATATCATTTATTAATTTTTTTTTTTTCTATTTTCATAGCAAATCATCAAAAATTTTGGAACAAGAGAGTGGTATTTCATTACAATCAAAAGAAATTAATCAATTCTCCGAAAGTGTAATAGAAGGTGATTGGAAAAAAGTGGAAGAATTGTTGCCATTTTTAAAATTAAATGATAGAGATACAAATGTAAATAAATAACAAAAAAATACTATAGTATTTTATATAAATATTAATTGTTTTTTTTTTTTTTTTAGAATGTAAAATTTTTAATATTTAGCCAAAAATTTTTAGAATATTTAGAACATAATAAAATCTCAAAAGCTTTACAATGTTTAAGAGAAGAGATTACACCATTAAATAAGGATTCAAAAAAATTACAACATTTAACATCATTAATAATGACAGTTAATACAAGCGAAACCAAAAAGATTATTAAACAGAAATCATCAAGGGTGACATTACTTAGTGAAATTAGAAAGTTTGTAAATCCAAATCTAATGCTACCAGATAATCGTTTAGAGCAACTAATCAAACAATCAATTCAATATCAAATTGGAAAATGTCTTTATCACAATACATCAGAACAATTCACCGAACTCTTTAAAGATCACACCTGTGAAAAAGATCAAATGCCACTAGATGTACTCTTTACATTAAAAGATAAACATCGTGACGAAGTTTGGTTCATTACATTTTCGAATGATGGTAAAAAATTGGCAAGTTGTTCAAGAGATAATAACATTATTATTTGGGACATGTCACCAATCTATTTAGATGAACCATCCGAACCAAAAGTTTTACATACATTAAGTGGCCATACAAAGGAAGTTTCCCATTTAGCATGGAGTCCAAACGATAAATATCTTTTAAGTACAAGTAACGATTCGACAACTAAATTATGGAATCCAGCCGATGGTACACTTTTAAAAACGTTTGCAAAACATACAGATTATGTAACATGTTGCAGTTGGCACCCAGATAACAAAAGATTTGTAACTGGTGGAAATGATAGAAATATTTATTTGTGGTCAATTGAAAATTTAAATTTAGATCAACCAAATGGAAATAGCAGTAGTAGTAGTAGTAACCTTAGTAATAATAATTATAATAATCATCTTCACATTCCCAATCAATCAGCACAACCAATTAAATCATGGCAATGTGCTCGTGTTAACGATTTGGCAATTCATAAGGACGGTAGACAATTGATTGTAATTTGTCATGAAAAGAAAATTAGAATTTATGATTTAGAAAATGAAAAGAAAGCAGAAACATCACTAAATGAAGCCGATTCAATCACAAGTATGCAACTCTCAAAAGACTGTAAATATGCTTTAGTAAACACAAGTTGTCAAGAGATCCATTTGTGGGACTTGGAGAAACAAAATATTGTCCAAAAATATAGAGGCCAGAAACAAGGACGTTTCGTTATTCGATCTTGTTTTGGCGGTGTCGATGAGGCCTTCATTCTTAGTGGTTCTGAAGATTCAACCATTTATATCTGGCATCGTCAAACTGGTACTCTTTTAGAAACTTTATCTCGTCACTCTGGTACTGTAAATACTGTATGTTGGTCACCATGCTCTCCTAATATATTTTGTTCAGCTTCTGATGATCAAACCATTAAAGTTTGGTCAAATACAAATAGAGTAAATAAATAAATAAACTTAATTATTAAAAAAAAAAAAAAAAAAGTGAATGTTTGTTTTTAAAAACTAGTTTTAATAAAAAACTTTATTTACTAATTATTTAATGGGTTTTTGGTAAGAAATAAGCGTCACAATGATAATTGTTACAACCGAATTTAGCTCCTTTCCATGAATCTAAGTAGTATCCTTCTGGACATACTGGAATACTTAAAGTACAGAATCCACTTTCGGTGCAATTTGGGTCAGCAAGACATCTATTTTCATCTCTGGTATAAATAACAACATTATTAGCTTGACACTTAAGGAGTGGCAATGCTGGGCACTTGGATGATGGATCTGGTAAACGAACATATGAATTTGAAATTATAACCTCACCATTTGAATTAATTGTAGCTTGACCAATGATACCATTATCATCTGATCTAACAGTCTTTGATGATAACCAAACACTATCAAACAAACTACCAACATTTGCTTGATATGGTTGTTTAACTGTATTGACTTTTTGAGTTTGACCATACAAGTTGGCTAAAATAGCGGTAATACTGTCGCATGGTGCTTTAACACATCTCATACCTAAAAAAAATAATTATAAGAAAAGCAATAAAAATTAATAAAAAGAAAAATTTCTATTTTAAATTTATATGTAAAAAGTTTTTATTACCATTATCAGTGAATAAATAAAATTTGTCAGTTGCTGCTGCTGTATTACCTAATGGTAATTTCTTGAATGCTCTAACAATATTCAAGTCAGTTGCTTCGGTTGGATATTGTGGGCTGGGGCTAACATTACCATAAATGATTACAGAGTTTGATTCATTTAAGGTTAAATATTTTTCATAAGATTTTAATGCTGCTGGAATATTGATGCCTAAAATTGATCTTGTGGTGGCACTATTTAAATTTTGGATGGTATATTGTGGACATGGGGCTCTAACGCAAACTTTTGAGCTCCATGAAACCAAATAATAAAAGTTTGGTCTGATAATATCATTAACCTCTGCATAGCAAAGTGTTGAAAATATAAGTAAGCAAAGAGATAAAAGTAGTTTCATTTTTTGAATATATAATAAACTATTGATTAATAAAATATTATTATGAAAATAATTTTATAATGAAAAAAATTATTTCTTTTGTTCCTTTTTTTTTTTAAAATTAAAATTAAAATAAATAATTTAAAATTATAATAAATCAAAATATAATAAAAAAAAAACCTATATAATTTGGCTGGGTGTGGGGTGTGGGTAAAAAACTGTATAAGTATTACTATTATTGTTAAAATAATATTGAGAATGTTTATGTGGTAATGTGGGTGTGGTTAAAAAAACTCCTATTTAGGAACGGTGACTTCCATTCTATGATATTTTCTTTTATTATAAAAAAAATATTAACAAAAAAAAAAAAAAATTGAATCTATTATTAAATCTTGATAAATTTACAATAAATGGTTTCTATTACTTGACCCATATACTTTTCGATAATGAATGGTTGAAATTGAGGGTATTTTATTTTTAACGATATTTACCATTTTTTACAAACAAATAAAACTTCCAAAAAAAAAAAATTAACAGATTAGGTCACAAATTATAAAACATTGTTTAATCTATCAAAAAAAAAAAAAAAAAGAATGATGAATGGTAAAAAAATAATCTAAAATAACAATAATTAAATAAAAAAATGAAAAAGGTAATTATTTAACAAACATATTTGTTATATTACTAAATGAAAAATAGATTGAAAAATAATTTGAAAAAAATAAAAAAATAAAAAATAATTTTTTTTGATTTTTTTTTTAATTTTTTTTTAATTTTTTTAATTTTTTTATTATTAACAATTATACAAAAAATATAAATATAAATATAAATATAGCAATGACAGATAATAATATATTTGGTAACACAAAAAAGTATAAATACCATACACCATATAAAAACTATATTTCCATATAAAGATTCTAATAAAACCTTACCAATCTCCTAATAATAAAATCAATTTAAAATAACTTTAGGTTCAATGATTCAATCGATATTATAAATAAATTAGAAACTCCAAGATTTCAAAAGATTTTAATTAGAGTTTTAAATAAAGTTGGGCATAAGGTAATATTATTATTATTATTATTATTATTATTATTATTATTATTATTATTATAATTTAAAATAATTTGAAAAAGAAACTAATTTGTTGTTTTATTTTTAATAGAATGAAAGAATTTTTACAGAACAAGAAGAAGGTATATTACAAAATATTTTTAAATTAACATCATCAGAATTCAAAGGAGTACTTGAATGTTGCTCATTTATTTTCGAACAAACAGCATATTATTCACTTTCACCAAATAATTTATTAAACCAATTAAAGAAAACCAATTTAGATGACGATAAAGCCTCCTCATTTCAATCAACATGGGAAGACAACTCTGATGAGGTATTAGGCTATCTTAGAACCCAATCTATCTCACCATTACAATTAGATGAAATCGGTTGGAGACTTCACTATCAAATGTCATCTTCAACAGCAATTAAAAGACAAGCAAGCGCCATTTTATCTTTAGATTTTAAATCTGACACAAGTAATAATAATAATAACAGTAATAAAAAGAATAATATGATTTTAGAATTCAATAAAGAACAATTATTAGATTTTTATAACAAATTAGAAACAATTCAAGAAAAATTAGATTCGTTAGCTTAGAAGGAAAAAACTATATTTAATAAAATAAAAAACAATTAAAATAAAAATCAATCAAAATAGAACAAAACAAATTATTTTTAATTTAATTTAAATTTAATTTAATTTAATTTAAATTTTAATAATTTTAGTTTGTTGTTTTTTTTTTATTTATTTTTATTTTTTACACACACCACTCCCGCCCATATATTAACTGTTGCATTATATATCAAAAAAAAAAAAAAAAAAAAGGAACAAAAAAAAAAAAAAACAATTCCAGTTAAATAAATAAAATATATGATAATAATAACAAAATAAAAAAAATTAATTAGTAATAATAATCATAGTATTTATTTTTTAAAAATAAAAGAAAAGTAATGGATAATAGATCAATAATAGCCCAATCCATTTTTGAAATGCATAAAAAAAATATAAAATTTAAACTTAATAATTAAATTAAAATTAAAAAAAAATTTTATTTTTTATTTTTTTTTTTTTTTTCTTTTTTTACAAATAATAATAGTTTATAAAAATCATTATATTTTTTTTTTTTTTTTTTTTGTTCATTTTATTTTTTTCTTATAGTTTATAAAACTGTTAATAAAAAAATCAAACAAAAAAATATGATAATAAAAAACAATAATAAATAACATTATAAAAACAAGATAATAATATTAATAATATAAATAATATAATAACAAGATTTATTTAAAATATTAAATGGAATACGTATTAATAATATATTAAAAAAAAAAATTAAAAAATATAAAAAAAAATAATAAAAGGTAGAGTGATTAAATTTAATTTTGATCCCCAATAATAAGAAATACTAGATACTTAAACGCAAGAGAAACATAAGGCTATAATAAGACTCTTTGTGTCAATCAATCGATGGTCAATTTTGGGTGTTGTGTTATTAAAATTTGTTTATTGTGTATTGACCATCAATTGTTGTATAAATCAAAAAGCATATAACCTTATCCCTGGTCTTCTTTATTTACTATTTAATTTTCCTATTATTGTTGTGTAGGTCGTTTAAAGCTATGTTTTATATCAACTAGTTGATGGCCAATTTTGGGTTTTGTGTTTTAAAAAATGTGTTTATTTTGTATTGGCCTTCAATTATGATAGAAATCAAATAGCTGTGGTTAGTTATGGTGGGTAATCTGGAGTACAGACATGCTACTCATTCCTATTGGTGGAACAGACGACCATCCCTTATTTAAATATCAATAACTATTTTATTGTGTTAAATTTGCTAATCTAAACTCAGTAATTCCGGCTTTACCTTTTTTCCTTTTTTATATATGGTTTGTTTTTTTTTTTTTTTCCTTTTTTTTTAATATTTACATCTCATCAAACAATATAATCAATAATCAATAAATATTAAAATAACAATAATAAATAATAATTAATAATTAAATCAAAAATAGTAAAATCAAAATCAATAACCAATAAATATTAAAAATTAAAATAATAATAATAATTTCGACTTCTTTCTCTTTTTCTCTTTTTCTATTTCTTTTTCTTTTTTTTCTTATTCATATTTTCTAATTGATTGAAAATATATATAATCAATTTTGGAGTGATTCTTTTATACAGATTTGCATAAGAGGACACCCACCCAAATCATTATATATTTTTTCAACAAACCATTTTAACCCACACAGTTTTTTTTTTATAAAAATAAATGTGTAATTATAAAAATCATCTTAAAAAAATATCTTCATAAAAAAATAGTAGAAATGATGGGTATGTATTTTTTTGTGAATCACTGGTATTATAAATTATACCAAAAATAAAAAATAAAAATAAAAATAATAAAAAATAAAAAAAATAAAAAAAAAATAAAATTAAAAATTATAAAAAAAAAAAAAGATTTTTTTTTAAATTTATTCAAACCAACAATAGTTTTATAAAATATAAAATTCGAATATTTTTTTACATACCCCTTTTTTTTTTTAAAGAAATTAGTTTGTAGGAAATAAAATGAGAATTCTTACATTATTAGTATTGTTATTTGTAGCAACTTGTAGCGGTGTCAAGATTAAAACACCATCAAGATCATCTTTAAACATTCCAAAATCATTTGGTGAAGTCAGAACCCCAGAATGGGATTTACTCGATACTTTCTTACAAGAAGGTGTTGAAAATGGTACTTTCCCAGGTGCAGTTGCATTAATTGGTAATAAAAATGGTATTTTATATTCATCTGCCAAAGGTAGCTATACATATGGTATTCCAACCCCAAACAACCCAAACTATAACCCAGCAATGCAATTATCTGTAAGTAACAATAACATACAATTAATTAGTTTTAAAACTTTAGATTATTAATAATTAAAATTTTTTAGACACTATTTGATATGGCAAGTTGTTCAAAAGTTACAGCATGCACAACTTCAGTTGCACAATTTTATCAAAGAGGTGAATTAAATTTAGATGCACCAATTACTGACTTTTTAGGTGATGAATTTGGTGTTAATGGTAAAGAAGGTATCACTGTTAGAAATTGTTTATTACATAACTCTGGTTTTTTCCCAGATCCAAACCCATTTTGGAGTAACTATCATTAAATACATAATAATAATAGTAATAACAATAATATTAATATTAATAATTATTTACCTCATATTTAGATACCCCAGAATTTGGATGCCCAGCAACAGCAGATTATAATCCACCATTAGAATTTACATGCCAAAACAAAATTTATAATAATATTTTAAATCAAACATTACAAAACCCAATTGGTTCAACATATGTCTACAGTGATCTTAACTTTATGACTTTAATGTATGTTGTTGGTAATTTAGTTAAAGATTTTGGATATATTAATGCCAACCAACTTGCACCAGTTGTGATAACGGTGGTCCAGAGAATGCCCAATGCTACTATGAAGCTTACGTTAGAGAATATGTATTTGGTGCCATTAATCTAAAATCAACTTCATATCTTCCACCAGCTACAGTAGTTAATCAATGTGCTCCAACTGAAAAAAGACCCCCTTTATATGCATCCTACAATTCAAAGTGTTGTATCTGATGGTAATGCTTATGCTTTGGGTGGTATCAGTGGTCATGCTGGTGTTTTTTCAAATGCCGAAGATATGTGGACCTTTATGTACACCTTAATGTTCAGCTCCTCAGATTCTCAATATCTCAATAGTACAACCGTTGAATATTTCACTACCGAATATAATCACACTCAAAGTTCAAGAGCTTTAGGTTGGAATACAAATGACCCAACAGTTAACGGTAAATATTCAATTGTTTATTCATTTATTTATTTGTTTTTTTTTTTAAATCTTTTTTTTTTTTATAGCAACGATAATTATTACAATGCTCGCAAAATATTTTTGTTTTGGTTTGGATATAATTTTGGTGTAAAATTTTGTTTTTTTTTGGCCACTCACCAAAAAAAAAAAAAAATCATTTTCGTAATTTTCGTTTTAAAATTCACACATTTTGCAGTATTTTTTTTTTTTTTAGTTAAAAATCTTTTTTGATTGGATTCAATTTAAATATTAATTTATTTTAAATGATTTTTTATAAAAAAAAAAAAAAAACTTTCACATTTTAAAATATTTTTTCCACCAAGCTATCATTTTTTTGTGTTAGATTTATGAAATATATTTTTGTAATGTTCACAAGTTTTTAATTGGCGTTCACGCGTATTATTGATGCCTTTTTGTGTGGTTTTTTTTTTTTTAAATGTTTTTAAATAATAATATTTTTTTAATGGTTTTAATGATTTTTTAAATTCATTTATTTTTTTATGGCAAAATATTAAAAAAAACTTATTTTGGGGTTGTTTTTTTTTTTTTTATTTATTTTTTTTTTTTCAAAATTTTTTTTTAATTTTTCAATTGGCCCAACTTTATTGATAAATATCTGCGTTTCCCCAAAAATAAGGAATATTTTTAAGGAGCGGTTTTGTCCTTATTTTCCAGGACTTTTTTTTTTTTTTTTTCTCATAGTAAATAGTGTGCAAATACCCTCTTAAATTTTTTTTTAACCCACACAAAATATAAGATTTTTTTTCTCATACTAATTTTTATCATATTTCACAAAATAATAAAAAAAAATAAAATAAATAAATAATATATAAATAATATATATGAATAGATGAGGGTTGGGGCTTAGCATGTGGTTCACTTTCTTCAAAAACTTGGATGCATTTAGGCTACACTGGTACAATGTTATGTGGAGATCCAGAACGTGAATTAATTCTTATTTTGCTCACAAATAGAGTTTACCCAGATCCAAGCAATACAAAAATTTCAAATTTCAGAAGACCATTTTCAACATTAGCACAAAAAATTTATGATAGCACCGTAGGTTACAGTACTGATTAAATACATAAATAAAAAATAAAATATAAATAAACAATATAAATAAAAAACATAAAATTTTTTAATTATTTATAAATAGAACATTTAAAACATAATTTTTATTAATATAATCACGATAAAGTCGATAAAAAATCACAAAGCACCAATATAAAAAAAAAAAATTAATCGAAAAAAAAAATAATATAATAAAAAAAAATCATATTGTTGTTATTGTTATGGGTACAAAAATGTATTTCCTTGGTTTTAAAGAATTTATTTTTATTGTTTATACTAGTCCTAATTATCTGCGACAAAATAATATAAAAAATAATAATAATTAAATAAAAAAAAAAAAAATATCACAACTATTTAATCACAAAAAAAAATTATATTAATATATTTTTTTTATATATAATTTAAAAAAAAGACGACAATAGAAAAAACCCATTTATGTATACTTTTTGGAACACACATGGTTGATATTGTTGTTTATGAGAGAGAAAGACATTGCAAATATAAGAGAGTTTTTTCTTTTTTTTTTTTTTCAAAAATTTTTTTTTAATTTTTTTTTTTTTAAATTTTGATAGTAAAAAAATTGAACAAGGTTTTTTTTTTTTTTTTTTTTTTTTTAAAGTTCTCTTGTTTATTGGGGATTTGTTCAAAAAAGGAAGTAGTTTTAGGTTTTGAGGAAACTATCAGTTTTCACTCACCCATATAAATTTTATAAACACACAGTATTATCAAACATAGTTTCTTTGAAATTTGATAATAATAGGGCACAAATAATTTTTTTTTTTTTTCTTATCATTGTTTTTTATTGATATATGTATGTATGTATTTGTAGTCCCTTATTATAAAGACTATAATATTTTTGGTTCTTAGAGTTTCAAAACAATAGTTTTAGTTTTCTTCTCTTATTTATTTATTTATATACACCCTTGTTTTTTTGTAGACTTAAAAATTTTTTATTTTATTTTTAATTTTTTTTTTTTTTTTTTTTTTTTACAATTCCTTATCTCTTAGGGATACAGAAATTTATTTATAAGGTAAAAAATTCAATTCAATTATTGTTGAATTTATTACTCTTAATTTGCACAATAGCTACATTTCATTTTAAGTTGTTTTGCTTTTTCAAGAATTTTTAAATCCTTCCAATTGTTTTTTTATAAATCACAAAACCCTTAAAAATTAACGTGTATGCGATCACATATTTCACATATTATTATATTAATTATATATAAATCGTATTATTGTCGTTGTGTGTGGGAGGTTTGTTGCTAATGCATTAATCTCTGCTCCAAAGGTTTTTCTCTTAAACAGTCTTTGTTTCAATTTTAACTTATAAAAACTATTAAACTAATTCTTTATATTTAAAGTTTTTTTAAATAGTCTTTAGGGGAAAAACATTAAATTCATTTAAAAAAAACCTTGGTTTTTTAAAAATCATTACTTTAGTTTTAAAAATAATCTTTAAAAATATAAAAAATAAAAATTTTGTCTTAATTTCATATATTACTTCGACACACTCACTCATACACTCATACAATATTTCAACCACACACATTTATAATATCATAGTAATAAAATAAGCACATTTTTTTTTCCTTCCATTCATCAAAGTTTTCTTTAATACACAAGCACCCTCTATTACATTTTCTTAGTTTAATACGTCACCTGCAATTACTCTTAGACTATACTATAATAAATAAATAATTAACAATAATAATTTAATCACTTTCACTTAGGCTCATTGGAATTTAAAGAAACTTTTATTTAAAGTTTAAAATTATTTCTTGGCTAGTGAAAATAATTTGGTAAGTTTAAAGACTCAATCCCTAGAAATAAAAATAATTTATTTTTAAGTATATATATGTTATATTATTGGTTGTTTTTTTGGTTTAATTTATCGTTTTTTTTTAATAATTGTTTTATAAATATCTAATCCCTGCTCAATTAAAGTTTTATAATTCTATTTTTTTAATAAAACTATAATTCTATAGTAATCATATTACTGATACAATTTTGATTACTAAATTTAACTATAGTACCGTTATTATCATTTTTAAAAATGTTTTTAAAAAAAAAAATTATTTTAAAAATAATATTTCATCTTCGCTGTAATTGTTTTTTTTTATTTTGGCCTGATTATTAAGGATCATGGACTTTAAAGACCAAGAATGATAAATAGTTATGAAAATACTTTTAAAACTTTTTCATAGTGTGTATTTTTAAATATTTGTGTGTTGTTTATAAAAATTTTTTTTTTTTAAATATTAAAAATATAAAATTTAATATTAGTATATAATTTTTTTCAAATATTAAATCTTTTATTTATTGCGGCAATCGTTAATTTAATTTTTTATTAAAGAAGTATATATAAAGTTTAGTATGTATTTCTTGTAAAAGTTTATTTTTTAAATATGAAAAAAAAAAAAAAAAAAAAAAAAAAAAAAAAATTTTAAAAAAAACTTATTTTTGTTTTTTTTTTTTTTTTTTTTTCCAAAATTTTTTTAAAAATATTTGAAAAAACTTCAAAATTGTTAATTTAAAGGGGAAAACAAAAAAAAAAAAAAAAAAAAAAGGAAAGATATTGGTTTTTTTTTTTTTTTTTTTTTTTTTTTTTTTGGGTAAATATTTATATTTTTTGGGGGGAACTTAGGGGTCCGCCTTTTTCCCCCCCGAAAAAAAAAATTTTTAAAAAAAAAAA